ACCACAGGGGATTTTTAGGGCAATGAAATCATTCTGTAGGATACTACAATGGTGGACACACGTCAATCTTCATTTATCAAAGCTCACACAATGTACAACACTATGGCAAAACATTACAGACTTTAGTCAGTAAGAATGGGTCATGAATTGTGACAAATGTACCACACCAAAGCAATACTTAATAATAAGGATAACAAAGGGGTCAGTGGGAACATGAGAGGGTATAATGTGAACTCTGTGCTTGCCACTCCTTTCCCTGTAAACTTGAAACTACTCAAGAAAAAATAAAGTCTATTAAATAGAAGGAGGAAGAGAAAACTCAAACAACATGATCATCTTACCTTTGTATTGGTTGAACACCACCATCGAGATTAATCAAGTATTCTCTTTGTCATCAGCTACAAATTTAAATAGTTTTAGAAATTATGCCATTATTGACAAGGTCCGATACAACGAATCTTATCAAGCACAACCACTATTACTTGTATTACTCATCGGCTCCATTTAGCGTGTACACCTGTACCTTTGGTCCAGTTTGAGGCTTAAAATGACAGTGATAACAGGTCAAAAAGTGGGTGCAGATGTTCATCCAGATTATAAATCCAACACATCATACTCATCAATCGTAGAAAGAAGGCACATGATGTAAAGTAGGGCACTGGGGGAAGCTGTCAGCATTATAGGACAACTATGGGAATCCAGAAGTTTGATTTCAAAGGCATTTTTAAAACTTCTTAGTTTTTATAATATAGGGTAGAGAGTGATGGCTCAGTCATTAACACCTATGCAATTTTTCCTAAGCATTGAAGGAAAAAAAGGGAAATGTTTCAAAGGAGACTCAAGTGCTGGGTGTTACTTGGCATTCCCAAACCTGAGATTTTTGACTCGGGTTCCATTTAGAGCGGTCTGATGGCCTTAACCTAATGCCAAAGGCACAAGTGTCCAGACCGCAGAAGTTATAAATTTTTTAGTCAGAATTTGCTATGAAAACCCAAGTCTCCACAAGGGAAACCTGGAATGCAAAGAATGCTTCAAATAAAATATCAATCCATCAAGACACATCTGTGGTATATCCACTATGCGTCTAACACAGAAATAATTCTCACACTAAAAAGCATTTTAGAAGTATTGATCCACTGGTGTCATAGGTATGTTGATAATTCGTAAATAGAACATAGACCTCGGAAAATGTTTCACAAAAATAAAATTATGTTCCCAGTAGAAATATGTTCAAAATATGAACTAAACAGTTCATAAACAGTGAAGGAAACCAAAAATTCAGGAAGAGAAATTAGAGAAAAACATAAATTCAAAATACCCATGATGAGCATGAAATCTTGCGACCCCCCACAGTCTCATAGCAGTCAAACTATCAATCACTCCTATTTCTCAGTCAAAAGCCAGAACTAAGGGGACTGAGAACAAACAAAAACCAAAGCCAAGTGATTACCTCGGTTGTCCAGACCACCTGTCTCTCCCTGAGCTCCCTCTTCCATTGTTTGCTGGTTCTCTCTGGGGCGATGACCTTCATTTAAAATGTTTTTTAAATATTTTAAGGTACCTCTTTTCTCACCTTCTTCACATTCTCTTTCCAATCCCCAATTCATTTCAGTGCTACTCACACTCACTTTTTATTTTGAAAAGCTACTCTATTTCAAAGTTTAGGGGAAAAAAAGAAGTATCCTCCTAAGGGAATTCCCCTTGTCAAGTGGCATAAATTAAATTTCAAGAATGAACGCTGAAGTGATTCCAAGTACTGATAGAACTGTTCTCTGCTATTCAGATTCAAATAACTAGACTATGAGCACAGATCAAATCCCTGCTTGGTTTCACCTCAGGCCTCCTGAAACGACAACAGGCAAGCCTCAAAATGTTGACTTGCCACCCACAGACCCAACCCAGCCTCCCTGGGCTTGGGTTCCTAGGACCAACCCAGAACATCATGAAAAAAAATTTAAATGACCAATATAGTTGGTCATTTTTTTTCACATTTTAGAAACTAATCCTATTAAGTATATTAAAACTATGTTGCTCTGTTAAAAATTATTTTATCCTCTTCTGCAAGCAGTTTACAGTATAGTTAGAATTGTTTAGCAAGACATTTCTTTCAACTCAGGACTTGTGGGAAAATAACCATGTGTACCATAAATAGCTTAATCCTGAGCCAGACTTGCCACCCACAGACCACTGAGCCAGAGCTGGGTGCTGAAATAAGTTTTGAATAGGAGTAAACTCCAGCATTTAAAAGACTGATGCCCATCAAGACCAACAACTCTGGAAAAAGACAACAAACCTTGTATTAAACAGGGAAAAATGGAAGAAAGCAGAAATTGTCAAAATGTTAGGCTCTTACCAGAAATGGACTCCAGCAAATGCAGGAGACACACATTATAGCCAGGAGCTGGATGACCATTTCAAAATGATGAGACCTGCCTTGTCTGTGCTGCTGACTTTTAAATTTAACTCTTAAAAGTGTAATTCCTGTGATGGCATTGCACAAGAACGAAACGCCAAGGGCTAAGAGCCCCAGAAAAGAAAAGAGAAGAAGATAAAACCTATCTTCCCAGTCTTTGATGTGCTCTGTTTTGTAGAAACACCAGGTCCTCGATGCTTGAATTTTATAGTTTCGATGCCCAAGGATGGGTAGCAAAGCTATGAAAACAGCAAACAAGCACACTCCACTCAACATCATTTTCACATGTTTGGATGTAATTTTCGTAGAATGAAATATTGGCTTGGTGACTCCAATACATCGCTCAATGGCCATCACACTGCCTAGAAAAAGTGGGCACAGACCAGAGAATACCATGCAGATACCAAAAATACTGCAAAGGATGTTCGACTGGTCAAAGCGGATCCAGTCTTTATCAGAAGCATATACAAAGACCGCTATAGCTCCATTGATGAGGTGGCCAAAGAAGTCTGTGATGACCAGGGCACTGGCCAAAAGCAGAAACGATGCCTTGGACTTCTGTCTAAATCTCTGATAGGCCTTCATGAGAATAGCAATGGCAAGGCTGTTTGATAAGATCCCCACTGTCATGAAGATGATTGAAAAAAATACCGAAAACCGGTTTTCCGTCTGGCAAGTTGTATTTGAAAGGAGACCAGCTGCAGGAGACACTGGCTGTTTGGAATTGTTCATAGACATTGTTGTGGAGATAAAAAAAAAAAAAGCTGGCCACTCAAGTCATCTCCCTCTCAGCACAGTGCAGGCTTGCAGTCCGGACATCTGTAGCATAAAGACAGAGGAATGGTGAGCACTGGATAACTGCTCATCTGACATTTAAGACTGACCGGCCCAGCACCCCGCGGTGGGACTCGGATGTATCTGGCCTATCATAAGCAAGGCTGCATCATACCACAGCAGCACATATCTGCCCCCCCCTTCCACATTGCATCTTCAAGGTAATCAAGCTGCCAAGATTGAGACTCCGTTCGGTGCACTCTGTGGCCCCTCTGCAAATGGGTACCTCCTAAATCTCCTCCTGACCTTCATAGGCACCCTAAAACTTGTGAAGTTTACAACATCACCAACAAGATTAGATTTAAACCCAACAAAGTTTTTAAAAGCATGCTCGTCTATTTAAATAACGAGGTGACATTTAAAGTTTCTGCTTTTTTCTTGGATGGGCTTTGTCCCCAAACTGCAGATTATTCTTTAAGTGTTTGTCAGGCAGACAAAACAGTCTTCTTCAAACTTTGGCAGGGGACAGAGTGGACCTGCAAACTCACTGATGTTAAATGGGGCTTCTCTCAATACGTTCTAAAATTGTTAGCTTTAGATCAAATTACAGCAAACCACACACATGTGGGACCCATGGAAGGTCGAGTGGTGAATCTCTAAGAAGCTCTTCTGGTCCAGCTAGCACCTGTGCAGAAATCCTGGCTCGCAACAGGAAAGGAGGCAGTTCGTCGTGCTCCCCGTGAGAACGTCTGCCTACATGCTGTTGATCAAGTTACAAGCTTCAGGGTAGCAACGTCTCATACTAAGTATTCATTTGTATTCATTTATCGTTCTTTCCGTAGTGTGTTGAGGCCTGAGTCATAGACCCTCCATACCCATGACCACAACCATACGCCTCGAGCTAATTCGATTGAGGTTTCCCCCGAGCAGCTTTCCGGGAGGCTGGGAATTACCGAGCCAGCCTTCCTGGGCCGGACGGGAGTGGAGCCGCCCGGGCTGCCCGAGGACTGCCGCCTGCTCCGGGTCTTATAGCTCAACTTTCGCCGTGACTACCCCAGCGCCCCTAAGCCTCTGCTTGCAACATCCTTCCCAAACCTAACTTGCTGAAACTTTCTGCTATTGCTCAAACGCCACAGGGCCGGTTTCCCTCCCTCCCTGGGGGGCGCCAAAGGCCTGCGCTGGCCCGGGTGCGGGACTCCAAGGGTCGCCGGCCAGGAACCACCGGACGGGAAGGAGATCTCTCCGTTGCTCCTATTCCCTCCCCTGAGACCCTTTGCACCCGCAGTTCAGAATCAGTTCGGGTCAGCCGGAATACCCCTCTCTCTGAAGGTCTCCCCAGCTCAGGGCATCTGGTCCAAACTTGTTGCCAAGCTCAGACTAAGGTGCCCTCCAGTACCGCCGGGTGAGGGTTCCACCTCGGTGGGGTGGAGCATCCGGAGGTCGACCCGTGGGAATGCAGCCGCTGGAGGGGTGGTTACCTTGGCATCCCGGGCCGCCGGTAGGGCTCTCGGCGGAGAAGGGCGCCCCGCTCCGAGTGCCATGGCGCGCCGGGCTCCGCTCCGCCGCCAAGGAGGGCTCCCCCCGCGCAGCCCCGCGCTCCCGCTCCGGCTCCGGCTCCGGCTCCGGCTCCGGCTCCGGCTCCGGCTCCGGCTCCGCTCGGCCGCGTCGCGCGTCCCTCCGCGCGCTCCCCCAGCGCGGAACCTGCGGGCGCACAGGGCTCCTCCGGTCGCTCAGCACCCAGCGGCGCTCGCAGCCTGGGCGGGATGGAGAGCGCGGGTGACCTCCGCCGCCCCCACCCCTCCTCTCCTCTCTCCTCTCCGCCCCCTGTGCCAGGAGCCGGGAGCCCGACCCGGAGAGACCAGGGCTCCGCGCTCAGATGCTACGGCATATGCACCAGCATCAGAGCCCCAGCCCCACCACTTAAGGAAAAGTTTTGTTTCAAACTCCTGTTCAATCTAAAGGCGCCATCTCTAAAGCTGCAAAATAGGAATCGGGAGAGTCGAGGAAAGCCAGCTGTCGTGGCAGCGTGTTGGACTGTCACATTGTAGTTTGCTGAGTGAATCCATCCCAAATCCAGCTCGAAAAAGATCAAGAAATCAGGCAGAAAGAAAGAGACGGTGTATTTGAGGAAAGGGCTTAGTGGCCGATATCCCCAGGGAGTTAAAAACAAGTATTTAAGCCACGTGTTGTAAAGGAAAACAGTCACTGCCTTGGGGTTCACTGTCGGAGGACTGGACTATGTTTCTAACTTTCTAAGGAATGTGAGAAGGGAAAGGGATGAGAAGTATTCTTGAAGGACACCTGCAGATAAGGTATTAGTAACATTTTAATGATTTTTTTAAAGCCCAATGTTGACAGTATTTCTAATGGTATGTTTACCCAGAGAGTTGTGAATCTAAATTTTGTGGAGATCATTTTATTATCAAGTGAAGAAATACCCACTACTTCACTAGGAATTATGATTTGGGTCATTTTAATACTGGAACTGCTTTTTGCCAATATTGTTCTGATCCATACCTACTGTGTCTCATTTTTCCAGCTAAATACTTACAGGAATCTATTAGTGACCTCTGTTCTTTTTATTTTAGTAAAATGTTCCACCACCTATGTGAAAAATTAGTGCCACATGGAAATAAACCCTCTTTACTCTGTTCTAAAGTCAGAAGGGGCCTCTAAATTCCTGGAAATTGAAAAGGATCATAAAATGCTAAAGTGAGATAAAATAAATTAGCCATTAACTATAGAAAAGAACGATTGCACAGTTTTCCCCTGTGGTAGATATTGAGGGTTTTGTTAATAATATGATCATAACTTGTAAAATAAACTGTTACTCAGGTGGTCAGGGAATTGAACAATTTGACTAATCAAAGGTTAGTAAAGGAATATTATATCTAGATGGCCAGTATCCAAAGAACAACTCTGTGATAAACTACACAGAAAACGTGAATGCCATAAAGCACTAGTCTTTCCCTCAATGATTAAGAACACTTAATCACATTACACTGCGATTATGTCTCTCTCACTGAAATGAATTCCTGCAGAGGTCTTATTCATCTCTCCACCCTCACCTAGGACTGTGCCTGGACACTTAACCAAATGCTGTTTGAATTCATCAATGGTGCAATCAGTATTTCAGTATTATAGTTTGAGATCTTGAAAACTCTTCATCTCTCACTGGAGCACCTCACTAACATCAGCTGCTCTGTCTACTGGGGAAAAAAAAAGTAAAGAAAGAAATCTCATTAATATAATGTCAAATCATAACATGCATTATGTAATATATTTAAAACAATAGAAATTTGTTTTTCAAAATACTACATAAATCCTTTCTTTTTTCTTTTTTTTAGAGAGAGAGTGAGAGCACAAGCAGGGGAGGGGGCAGAGGGAGAGGAACAAGCAGAATCCCTGCTGAGCAGGGATCCCAATGCAGGGCTCGATCCCAGAATCCGAGATCATTACCTGAACTGAAGGCAGAGGCTTAACCAACTGAGCCACCCAGGTACCCCATAAATTCCATTTTTTAAAACAAATTATCTACTTTGCATGTATTCTTGGAGTTTCTTTTTTAGAATCCACTCCTTAATCCAGACGCATTTCACTTGAAGATCAATAAAAGATTCCAAAGCACTGACATCGCTTCTCCTCAAGATAGAATATGTTACTAGTAGCAGAGCAAGTACTAATTGGTATGGAAGATTAGACACCTATTGGTAAAAAAAAAAATTTATACACGTGTGTGTTGGGGGGGTTCTGGCCTTATGGGACCCAAATCTGATCCTCTATTCAGAGTTCCCAAAGGCGGCCTTTGGCTGCTTATATAAGGAAGAAGAGCTGGTGATTCTACAGATAAGAGAAATAAACAGATCAAAAAAAAAAATTAGTGGGGCCTGGGTGATGGCTCATAAACTCTTCTGAAATGTGGTAGTTGCTATTGGTACTTCTCCTGAGAAGTGGACACTCTCACAAAACTATTCATTGATAAAGTCATTCAACGAATTTTTTGAGCACCTACTTCGTGTCAGGCACTGTTTCTCAGTGGCAGCGATACAGCTGTGTGAACAAAGCTTACAAAGCCCCTCCTCTGGTGTGACTTCTGCGTTAAGGGAAGGCACTTACTTTGGGGGAACATGTGCTGGAGACCTTGCAGTGATTTTAGATGTTCAGGATTCCCTTTGTGTTCAATGGAGGCAAAGCTGACGTCAGCCAGTCTGCACAGAGCTAACATACCATGACAGGTGTGTGCTTGGCAATCACCTACACTCAGAATTAGATGCAGGACACTTTGCTCGTGCACACTGTAATTAAAGTCAGAGAAACAGGGACTCAGTGACACTGAGGTTGCAATAAAAATTCCATAAAAGTTAAAGGGAGTGTTGGAAGTTGAATTTTATGGTTTTAATAAAACTGTCTAGAAAAGCTTTTCTGGAATTTGCCATTGAGATTAATAGTAGAAACATGCCCTGATTTGGTAGTGATGAAAATAATAACATCTTTTGTCTTTTTATTTTTATTATATAACTATTTGATACATGAAAAGTAGCATATGTCACACATTTGAAAATCGTGAATTATAAAAAAATAAACACCCGTGCACCTACTACCTAATATAAGGACTGCATTAGTTTCCTAGGGCCGCTGTAACAAAGTACCACAAGGTGAGTGGCTTAAACAACAGAAATGTATCGTCTTTTACAGTCTGGAGGCTAGAAGTCCAAAATCAAGGTGTTGGCAGTTTTGGTTCCTTCTAAGGGCTGTAAGGGAGAATCTACTCCATGTCCCGTGCCTTGCTTCTGGGGATTTGCTGGTATTCTTTAGTGCTTCTTGGCTTGTGGATGCATCACTTCAATTTCTGCCTTCATCATCATATTCCATCATCCCTGTGTCTCTGATCTCATATGAGGTCTTTTAAGGACCCCAGTCATATTGAGTTAGGGGTCCACCCTACTCCAGTATGACATGGTCTTAACTAATTACATCTGCAACAACCCTATTTCCAAATAAAATCACAGTCTGAGATACTGGGGGTTAGGACATCAATATATCTTTTTCTGGGGGGGGGAGCAATTCAATCCATAACAAGAACTATGCTAGAACATTAATAATATTGCTACATCTATCTGCATATTTCTGCCTCCATTCCAATCCTCTGTATCCCTCTGTCAGAAATAAGAGAGATAACCACTATCCTGAATTGTGTGTTGTCATCATTCTCTTGAATTTCATTGTTTTATCACATAAATATGCAGATGAACCAACATATTATTTAAATTTCCTTATCTTATGATTTAACATTCCTTAACTTTTTTCATACAAGATTTATAAGATTTGTGCGTATCATTGTATGCAGTAGTCGTTCATTCTTTAACAAACTTCTATAATACCTCAGTGTTTGGCTCTCCAAATTTTTAAATTATTCTGTCAATAACCTCGGGGTTATTTCCAATGTTTTATTCTCAGGAAATATTCTGCTATGAGTATGGTCTCATGCCCTTCACCTTATATAGGAGTTTCTCTAGAATATGTACCTTGAATAAAATTACTGGGTCATAGGGTATGAGAATGTTCAACTCGACTTTACAAGATAATGCTGAAATCTTGTATCAATTCACACTCCTTAAATGGTGCATAAGAATTCCTCATCAGCCACATTCATGATAATGGCTTGGAATTGCCTAGCTTTTTAATTATTACCAGCAGATGATGGTAAAATGATATTACATTGTGGACCTAAATTACGTTTCCCTTTTCATTTAATTTATTCTGCTGTGAAATACCTGTTTGTCTCTTTTATTGGGTTGTTTGTCTTCTTCTCATTAATACTTTTGTGTTCTAGATACTAACCCCTATCAGTTAATGTTTTGAAAACATCTTTTTTTCTCCAAATCACATCTTGCCTTTTCATTTTCTTATGCTATCATTTTTTATGAGCTGATCAGTTTTTGCATATTTTTTATTTTGTATTTCATACTTTTAATTGAAGTATAGGTGACATATAATATTACAGTAGTTTTAGGCATACAATATAGAATTACCATACAATTCAGGAATTTTACCTCTGTGTATTTACCTAAAGAAAATAAAAACACTAATTCAAAGATATATGCACTCCTACATTTATTGCAGCATTATTTCCAATAGCTAAGATATGAAAGCAACCTAAATGTCCATCACTAGATGAATGGATAAAAAAGATGTGGTATATATACACAATGGAATATTACTCCACCATAAACAAAGAATAAAATCTGCCATTCACGACAACATGGATGGACCTAGAGGATATTATGCTAAGTGAAATAAGTCAGACAAAGAAAGACAAAAACATATGATTTTATTTATACATGGACTCTAAGAAATAAAACAAAAACCAGCAACAACAAAAAAGAGAAACAGACTGAAATACAGATAACAATCAAGTGGTTGCCAGAGGGGAGGGGCAAAATAGGTGAAGGGGATTAGGAGCTACAAAATTCCAGTTATAAAATAGATTAAGTCATGGGGATGAGAAGTACAGCATAGGGAATATCATCAATAATACTGTAATAATGTTATATAATGACAGATGGTAACTATACTTATCCTGGTGAGCATTTTGTAAACTATATAACTGTCAAATCTGTTTTTAATTTTCATGTTACCAAATTTAAATATTTTAAGTTTTATCTCTTGTGTTGTATTTTAGCATTTTTGTGTCAATTTTTTAAAAATTTTAATCCCAGTATAGTTAACATATGGTGTCATATTATTGTCAGGTGTACAATATAGTGATTCAATAATTCTATACATGATTCAGTGCTCAAGATGAGTTTACTCTTAATCCTCATCACCTCTTTCATCCATCCCCCCACTCACCTCCCCACTGATAACCTTCTGTTTGTTTATAGTTAAGAGTCTGATTTTTGGTTTGTCTCTTTTTTTGCCTTTGTTTTTTTCTTAAATTCCACATACAATTGAAATCATATAGTATTTTTCTTCCTCTGACTGATTTCTCTTAACACTATGCTCTCTAGCTCCATCTATGTTGTTACAAATGGCAAGATTTCATTCTTTTTTATGGCTGAATAATGTACCACCTCTTCTTTATCCATTCATCTATTGACGGACACTTGGGCAGCTTCCATTGTAAATAATGCTGCAGCAAACATAGGGGTACATATATCCTTTCAAATTAGTGTTTTCGTATTCTTTGGGAAAATACCCAGTACCATGATTACTGGATCACAGAGTATTTCTATTTTTTTTTTTTTTTTTTTTTTTTGAGAAATCTCCATCCTGTTTCCACAGGCTGCACTAGTTTGCATTCCGACCAAAAGCACAAGAGGGTTCCTTTTTCTCCATGTCCTCACCAACACTAATTCATTTATTAGTTCTAGTAGTTTTTTGGTGGAGTCTTTAGGGTTTTCTCTCTGTAGTCTCATGTCATCAGCAAACAGTGAAACTTTTACTTCTTCCTTACAAATTTGGATGCTATTTATTCCTTTTTCATGTCTGATTGCTACAGCTAGGATTTCCAGTACTATGCTGAATAACAGTAGTGAGAGTGGACACATTTGTCTTGTTCCTGACCTCAAGGGAAAAGCTCTCAGTTTTTCCCCATTGAGTATGATGCTAGCTGTGGTTTTTCATGTAAAGACCTTTATTATGTCAAGGTATGTTCCCTCTAAACCTACTTTGTTGAGGGTTTTTATCATGAATGGATATTGTACTTTGTCAAATGCTTTGTCTACATATATTGAAATGATCTTATGGTTTTTATCCTTTCTCTTATTGATATGATGTATCCCATTGATTGATTTGTGAATACTGAACCACCCATGCATCCTAGGAATAAATTCCACTTGATGGTGGTGAATGATTTTTTTAATGTATTGTTGGATTCAATTTGCCAGTATTTTGTTGAGGATTTTTGTATCTATGTTCATCAGAGATATTAGCCTGTAGTTTTCTCTTTTTTGTGGTGTCTTTATCTGGTTTTGGTATCAGGGTAATACAGGCCTCATAGAATGAATATGGAAGTTTTTATTCCTTTTTTATTTTTTGGAATAGTTTGAGAAGAATAGGTATTAACTCTTCTTTAAATGTTTGGTTGAATTCACCTGCGAAGCCATCTGGCCCCGGACTTTTGTTCGTTCGGAGTTTTTTTGATTACTGATTCAATTTCATTGCCGGTAATTGGTCTGTTCAAATTTTCTATTTCTTCCTAATGCAGTTTTGGGAGGTTATATGTTTCTAGGAATTTACCCATTTCTTCTAGGTCATCCAATTTGTTGGCATGTAATTTTTCCTAACATTCTCTTATAACCCTTTGTATTTCTGTGGTATCAGTTGTTATTTCTCCTCTTTCATTTATGATTTTGTTTGAGTCTTCTCTTCTTTTTTTTTCCTTGATGAGTCTGGCTAAAGATTTATCAATTTTGTTGGTCTTTTCAAAGAATCAGCTCCTGGTCTCATCAATCTGTTTTATTGTTTTTTTAGTTACTATTTCATTTATTTCTGCTC